CCCTGATCATCCAATTGTTTGCTTGGTTGATGAGAAAAATTTATGGAGATGGGTTTTATTTTATTTTTTTCTCTTGATGAGAATCGTTACAATTGGCGCGTAGATTTGCTATGAACATGGAGATCCATCGCTAGCCCCCAGGTTAAATAGGGCTGGCTCACTGGCAAAATTTTAAATGGACCTTACGGCACAAAGCCCATATTTTTCTGAAAAATCAAGAAAATATTAAGTGAAAACAAGAACAATAATAGCTAATTTTAAAGTCATTTTTAAAGCTCCGGTCATGTTTGTTCAATTGATCCATTTCAAACTCTTTTACATTACTTACAGTATTGCTTTCGAATACATTTTTTAAGGTTTTTTCTAACCCCATATTCTAAAATTGTTTTTCAAGATTGGTGGTCGAGACTAAATCATGTGTTGTTTGTGCTACCGGTGACCCAAGTTTTAATTGATTGGCTTACACGAGGGCGACGAGAGTAAGCGTCGTAAGTGAAGCATAAACAACAAAGATTATTATCTTAAAACCAAAAGGAGAGGAGAAAAAGAGTTGTTTAAAACTAGATTCATTTGTTCTGCCTCAGTTTACAGACAGACAGCAAACAAATACGAGGAATAAACAGTTAAACAAGATTGGGAAAAACAAATAACATAACACCAATGAATTAACAAATCAAAGCTAGCCCTTTTTGCACACCCATTTGCTGCAGGTGCAGAATTAGCAGGCCATATCCAAGTTTTCTTTTCTTCTCTCTCTAGAAAAAGAATCTACACTGAGCAATACAAAATGCTTAGTCGATTTCTCGAGTTTCGGCAGCAGGACCTGCATTATCATGATGAAACTTCACCACAATGCATGTTATATTGTCAGCGCTACCACGGGTAAATGCTGCTTCGGTTAGCTTCCGAGCAGCTGCCTCGGGTTCTTCTTCCTTCCCTGCAACTAGTACTGCATCCTGCATAGTGAATGTAAGTTGATATGTGCAGATCACGCCATCTAGAGCATCTTGGATATGTGGGATTATGAAGCGAGCATACCTCGTTGCGAACCACATCCCAAAGACCATCGCTTGCGAGAATAAGCAACTCGACGTCCTTGTCTACTTCAAGATCCTGGTGAGTATGGTGGGCAGTTTTAGTAAACCATGACAAGCTTTACCAAACAAAACATAAAACTAGAAAAGAATCCCACTGATGAGCATTTGAAACAATAAATTCTCATAAAACCTTCAAAGATCATAAAAAGTTATAAACCATTAATATAAATTTCATTCATCAAAGACTTTCTTCTTCCACAGATCCATTATTAGTCTAACGCTAGCAATCATAAAGTGAAACTAAACAGTTATTTGGGCTCCCCTGCAAATAACTAACAAACATGATTAAGTTTCGGAACTAAAATGTTTGAACAACCGGGTGTCGAAAACGACACCTGAATATCAGGATCTGCAACAACAAACTGCTTCAACATCTTGTTGCCGAAAGCGCGGGACATTGCTAACACACCTCCTACCCTCCAAGTGCCTGACAACAGAAAATGAACAAGAATTATAGCAGATAACCTTCAAATACAGTAGCTAAAGGCATTATATTTTTTCTAGAAGATGGTCAGAAGAAACTACAACTTGAGAAATATAAATTGCTGTGAACAGTAATAATACTCAGGCAACCAATAGATAATTATCAAGGAAAGCATTCCAACTTCCCTGAAATCATTTTACTTCTATAGTTGTTAATACGAACAGGACCTCTGTTGGTTCGCATATTTTAGCCTTTGGTACTCTAGCTTTCCATAAGGAGTTTAAATAAGATGGTGGAACTTTGCCTATATACATAAGTTAGCCAACAGGGATTGCAGTTCTTAACATCATTAGCAAAACCATTAGGAAAATCTTACCAGCCCACATGACAACACCCCCGGCCTTTTCAATTCTCCGCCGCTCGTCAGTTCTATTTGGTTTGTGGTCCTCAGAAAGAGGGATTGCTGCCGAGCAGGATGAAGATAAGTTTCAAGTTCCCATATGAAAATAAGCATATGAAATAAAGGTTGTAGTTATATTGTAATCATTATGATTTGTTCAACTTTGATCATCTTTATCATTAGCTTTTACCATAAACTATCATGGTCAAGAGTCTAGACTTTCTACCTTACATTAAAACAAAAGGGTAAGAAAACAAGAAAAAGTAAGCAAATAATACCTTCACCCCCTTTTGATATTATAGCACGCGAATCACCAACGTTGGCAACATAGAGATGATTGCCAACTAGCAAAGCTGTTGAAGCAGTGGAGCCATCGTCCCTTAAAGTTTCTTTTTCCAAACTTAAAAATTCAGCATCGGTCCGTTGATATGTTTCACCTGGGAAGTGACAGAAGAAACTTTTGAAGCCGAGTACAAAATAACAAGGAATCTAATGTCATATATTTTTTTTTCAGTAGAAAACAGTGCAACGTAAACAAAGAACATGAAACTTAAAGATCCCGTGTTCTTACACCTGTGGGAAGCTAAAATACAATCATCATATAAACCTAATCAATATATCTTTATATACAAATGAATGGTGCATAAGGGAAATGAACACACTGATAGCTACTTTGGTATCCATCAAAAACTTCGGGTGCTTCATCAGATTCTCGAAGAGATGGTCCTTCAAAAACTCTGCGGCACGAGATCCACCATGGCCTGAAACCACATTAAAAGGACTAATTATTTGTACAATGTATAATATATGTCAGATATCTATGGTAGCATCTATAATTTAATTGCTCAACATCAATGATGCAATAAAAATACTAATCTCTCGTATTGATTCAACTCAAGCGCCAAAATTGATTACGAAACATGTCTTGGATCTATGAAGTCTAAACTTAGAGTAGTTTGCAAGAATCTGAAATCTCAAACTTTCTAATCTTCAATCACTAAGTGAAACTTAACACCTACATCCGAACAATATATCACCAAGAAATTGGAAAGGTTAAAATTAACTAAATCTAACACCTACATCATGCCACTGTAACAATGGTGGGAGAGTCTAACCATCAAAGATCCCAAAAAGGCAAACCGTTTGACCATCAACCTTCGACATTTTAATATCGAAGAAATCTTCCATGGTTGCCCTCTTCCCCCTGATACTTGAATACCCCCAACTAAGTTTCCCATCGTCACTGCAGATCAAACAAAAACATAAAAATTTAAGCACATATCTCACTGGAATAGGCTGTTTGATAGGCTAGGTGCAAATTTCAATAACCAGATCAAAGCATTGTCTTCTGGACATCTTAATAAGAATAGAATAACCATTCAGCAACATAACTTCAAATAAAAAGACGTAAGGTTCATTCAAATGAATCCATTCAGACCTTTTCCACCCTCCACTGGCATAGCCACCATCTTCATTTTTCTCTGGATGCTTATCAACAACCGGCCTGCGATTTTCTGATGCACCCGTATCGACCATCATCATGAGACTTGTTCTATATTCACGCTTCCAGGTGTGAACAAATCCAAGATTTGAAGGCAAGCTCCTCCAGATATTGTTGATTTGAACCCTTCGGTTGATTATTCCTACATGTCCAGCCCAAGAAATCACATTCCTGATATTGTAGCTGCATACCATCTAATCCAGCAACTGCACAATCACATCACTACAATTATCAAAAGATACCAACCTGATCAAAGATTCAAAACCAATAACAAAGAACAGATGCCAGCAAACTAAATCCTAGCATTGTAAAGAATTAAACATTCAAAATCTCAAGTTCTCTTGCAGATTCTTGATATCAGAATGATAGCGAACTCTGAGGAAATGGGAAAAAACAATTTCTTTTTTTAAAAAAAAAAAACAAGACTCTGACTCTAATGGTCTCCAATCACAAACGCAATGGTACCATAAAACATTCCCCTCCGGCATGATCGATCCCAAATAACGCCTACCAAAAACTAAGTCCATGGAACTCAATAAAAACGAAATGGGTCAGGGAAAAATGATTACATCCGTTCTATTCATCCACCACCCTCAATTCACACGAGCTATTTAGGCATCAAAACATCAAAAACATTCAGAAAATGATTGGGGGGGTTGTCAATCCAAATAAACACGATATAAAAAAGTCAGTCTCAGACAAAATCGATACAAATTATGTAGAGAAAAAGGGGAAATTCTGGGGAAAATAGAAACGTTTGAGGCTAGATCAAGAGGTGTGAGGGGAAAAGTAGATGGGGGAAGATGAAAACGATGATCCCATCTGAGAAATTGGGGTGGAAAACAGGAGATGGGATGAATATACTTACTCGGGGTAGAAAATGGAAGAATCGAGGCAGAATAGGGTGCTTCAAGGAAACAAAAATGGGATAAACAAGAAAGAGGGAGATATATGGGGAAGGAGAGAGAAGGTGGTGGCTTTTCGAAGCATTGGCACCGAAGAGTAGCCAGGTGCGCGCCCCTAATGCTCTTTTCCGCCTCCCCTGTTTTTTTCTATTATTTTCATGGATATCTCTTTTCTTTCATTGTCCAACTCCTTTTTACTCCAATAATTGAATGGTTTTCAAACCTTCTCCTTCCTTCCTTTTCTTACTTGCTTTTCAATCACAATGCTTCTTCATTTAGGAACAATTTTGGGCTTCTTCATTTAGAGCCATTTATGAACAATTTTGTCCCACTTATCACAATTGAATAGAATATCATCTATTTTAGTGTTAATCCATGTCATTTTCTAAGATACCAAAAGTCTAACTCAAAATAGTAATGGGAGTATAGTTTAAATGAGGGTTATATTTTCAAATTTTATTTTTTAAGGCTATGAATATATATATATTTAACTTTTAAAGGTTTAAACACAAAATATATATATATATATATTTTGAGGAGAAGAATTCATAGGATTTGGGACGCGGGAAGCTTGTCGTTTACCATAAAAGAAAAACCGACGTATCGTTTGGGAACAAAATAAATACAATATTTTTGTTGACGTCAGGCACTTTCATGTCGTCCCTCACGTTGATAAATTCGAAGAATACGAAGTCAAAGCTCCCCAAACCCACCTTCTCCGACCTTCGCCGCGGGACCCAATTGCACCCCATTTCTCATTTCTGATCATCTCACAGTCACACACTCTTTGGGGCGAGTAGTCAATTTTCTGAAGAATTTTTTTTCATTCATAATGGCAGCTCGGACTTTCCATGGAAGTTTTATACCTTGTTTCTGCGTTCTACGAACAACAACAAGAACTTCAACGAGAGAGTGGGCGTTTTCTTTAATTTCTTACTGTTCCCTTTGGTGGGTATGGTTGATTTTTCCTGCCTCACGAACTTCCCTCATTTGGGTAATGAGTTTTTGTTCTGATTATTTCCTTTTTGTTTTGTCGTTTTGATTTTTGAAGTTGGTTTTGAATTAGATGCCTGGTGGTCTTACTGTTACTGTGGACAATCTTTCTGAGTTTCCTTTGTGTGATTTTTTGGTTTTCTATTGCTTTTTATAATATGATGTAAGCAGTGGAGTTTATGCTTTTATGCAGACAACTTGGATGGATGTCTATGAGACTCAGAAACCTCCTTATCCAACTGGATTCTTATTGGATTACTGAATTTTGTCTGCCCCTTTTTGATTGTGTGCTTGTTTTTATGAGCTGGTTTGAATGCATGTTTATGATTTTGAAGAAGTTGGTGCTCATAGCTTTATTGAGGGTAGCGAAATCTGATTTCACGTTTTCAATCTTTTCAACTATTGGGTTACTTGGATCTGGCCTTGATCATCCTGATTTCTAATCAATTTGCTACTGGTCAGGTTTCAAGATCCAAGGCCAAAGAAAACTGGTGGAGTGGAGTTTCGTAGTGGATGAGTAAATGAATTCAGCTCTCCACAGAGGGTTGGCATCTAGTCCTCATGGAATTAGAGGAATTGAGAAGTCATTGAAATCTTCTTCTTGTAATAATCTCATGCCTGAAGGTTTGCGCTCCGGGAAGAGAATTCTTGATCCACAAGGGCCTTTCCTTCAAAGTTGGAACAAGATATTTGTGCTGTCTTGTGTGGTTGCTGTTTCATTGGATCCTCTGTTCTTTTATGTTCCTGTGATTGATAATAGAAACAAGTGCCTTAGGTTAGATGAGAAAGTGGAGACCGTAGCCTGTATATTGCGATTGTTTACAGATTTATTCTATGTCGTGCATATCGTTTTTCAGTTTCGTACAGGATTTATCGCTCCCTCTTCCCGAGTGTTTGGAAGAGGTGTTTTAATAGAAGATTCTTGGGCAATAGCAATGAGGTATCTGTCATCATACTTTCTAATTGACATATTCTCAGTCCTCCCACTTCCACAGGTGAGGAATGTTTCTTGGGACACAGGAGTACGCCTACTCTACTGTTAATTTGTTATTTGCTTTTGCCAAGGGAATTCGTCATTCATGCATCTGTTTGATTCCATCATTTTTCCCTTTTCTATCATAAAATGGTTTAAACAAATTGTCAGGTCCTAGTTTTCGAACGCTAATTGCAATGATTCAGCATCAATTCATTATTACTTGTATTTTTAGTTCTTTGTAAACAATAAGTTTTATTGGAAAGTTGTAGGAATTGTGGTTCCACTTATTTCAAGGTTGCTAGTGCAATGTCCAGCTCTTTGATTTTGATACGTGAACTGTCCTGCTTTATTTTATTTTTTTTAATGTGTGTAGGTGATGATTCTGATAAACATCCATAAAATTAGAGGTTTGAGATCGTGGAATACAGAGAACTTGCTGAAACTTGCTGTATTATGTCAATTTGTGCCGAGGTTTCTTCGAATCTATCCTCTGTATAAAGAAGTTACAAGGACCTCTGGCATACTCATTGAAACTGCTTGGGCAGGAGCTGCATTTAATCTCTTTCTCTACATGCTAGCCAGTCATGTTAGTTTTCTCCTCTGCTCCTTGGGTGCTTATATAAAGTTTTCATGGAATCTTAGGTTTATTTGAAAAACAAAATAGCCAAAGTAGAGGAATAGTTGTGCATGTACCATTTGCATTTGGTTCTGTGAGATCCCACAGCATTCTTTATAAGAGTGTGGAAACCTCTCCCTAGCAGACGCTTTTTAAAAACCTTGGAAGGAAGTCCAAAGAAGACAATATCTACCAGCAGTGAGCTTGGGCTGTTACAGATTCCTTGACCTCGAGTGTGCTAAATGAACTATAGTATTTCTACTAATTATATTCACACCTTTAGTTCATCCCTGTGTTGCAGTGACATTTTTCTTATCTTCTTTGTGTGTTTTTATTCCTAGGTATTTGGGTCAATCTGGTACTTATGTTCTGTCGAACGAGAAGCCCAATGCTGGCATGATGCTTGTAGCAAACATCCTGGCTGTAATCTTACTTCCTTGTATTGTGGCTACAATTACAGTCATGAAGGAAACCTATTTCTCAATGCTTCTTGTCCAATCGAAAAGCCAAATGTAGGAATCTTTAACTTTGGAATATTCCTTCAAGCCCTTCAATCTGATATTGGGGAATCACACTTTCCCAAGAAGTTTCTTCACTGCTTTTGGTGGGGCTTAAGGAATCTAAGGTATGCTGTCCACTGCCCTTCTTGGTTACTCTTTCTGATTGGGAGATCTGCTATAAATTTACAAACATCCTCGGGAACGTGTTTTTATATTCATATTATGTGATTCCTGTTGCTTTCACTGTATACTTTTTAGTAAGGTCTTGGGCTTAGAGTTGTGCCTACCTTGTACCTAGTCCACTGCAGGCTGCCCTGAGCTTTATACAATTTTGTGCTTGTCTAAGCTGCTCTTGATTCAATTGGCTTAGATCGCAGATGAAAGTTATGCTAAATGATTAGAACTCACATAAAAGTTCACTCAATTTAGTAGTTTTTGCAGACTAATTTTTCCATTTAGTATTGAAGTAGTTTTCTGGATACATGTACTTCTCTCTTGGATGCAGCGCTTTGGGTCAAAATCTCACTACAAGTACTTGCAAATGGGAAAACTGCTTTGCCATTTTGATTTGCATCTCTGGCCTAGTGTTGTTTGCGTCTCTCCTTGGCAACCTGCAGGTTGGAACTGCCTATTCTCGCTGCTGTTACTCATCTTTGGCTGCCATAGAATCGCTTTTCTTTACATGAATTATGAACTGTTGAGCAACATAGATGTACTTGTTATATAAGCCTATGCAGTGTTTGATGCATATTTTACATTGTTATGTATGAAATCTTGTGCAATTCCTTCTTAGAACGAGAAGTCTCTCTCTGTGTGAAACTTGCTTTCGAGCAGATGTGTTGGCGATCCACAAACACAAGGGTGGAGGAGATGAGAGTGAGAAGGAGAGATGTCGAACAATGGATGTCACATCGTTTACTCCCGGAGAATATAAGGGAGCGAGTTCGAAGGTATGAACATTACATGTGGCAGGATACCAGAGGCGCTGATGAACATAATCTGCTGGATAATCTGCCTAAAGACCTCCATAGAGATATTAAGCGCCATCTTTGCTTGGTTTTGCTTATGCGAGTAAGTTTTCTTTTGTTTTGTCCTATGATCACTTTTGGAGAAATACTAGCTTGGTTAAGCATCCGCTGTATGAAAAGATGGATAGACAAAGGTCATAAACAATCACTAGCTCGGTTACACACTTATTGCAAGCTTAACTTTTTAAATTGATTCTGATGAGACTTATGTACATTTTCCATTAAGGTTCCAATGTTTGAAAAGATGGATGACCAATTGTTGGATGCAATGTGTGCACGTCTAAAGCCCGTGTTGTACACAGAAGAAAGCTGCATTGTTCGGGAAGGGGATCCAGTCGATGAGATGCTCTTCATCATGCGAGGCAAGCTCTTAACCATGACTACAAATGGAGGGAGAACTGGTTTCTTCAACTCTGATTTCCTCATGGCTGGTGATTTCTGTGGAGAAGAGTTACTGACTTGGGGTCTAGACCCTCACTCCTCAACCAATCTCCCCATTTCAACTCGAACCGTTCGGTCACTCACAGAAGTCGAAGCATTTGCCTTTAAACCCGACGACTTGAAAATTGTAGCCGCTCAATACCGTAGGCTTCACAGCAAGCAGCTGCGCCAGATTTTCAGATTTTACTCACAGCAATGGAGAACCTGGGCAGCTTGTTTCTTACAAGCAGCATGGAGGTGGCATCAGAGAAAGAAGCTCAGGGAGTGTGTCAGGGAAGAAGAGAGTAGGTTGAAAGTTACACTGGCTTCCATCGACGAGCGGTCACCGAGTTTAGGCGCCACCATTTATGCATCTAGATTTGCAGCCAACATGCTTCGGGCGAGGAGACGAAACAGTTCTGGGAAAGCTAGGATGTCCATGCTGCTTCAGAAGCCAGCAGAGCCTGATTTTAGCTTGGAAGACAACAACTCTTAACCATACCGTTAGAAAGATGATACTTGCGTTTGTTGTTTATGACTTTATATTGAAATTGTGTTCATTCATTCTGCAATGATCAAAACCCATTTTAAAAATATCATATGAAGGCCTCCCCTAACCTTTTTAGTTTTCTATGTGGCTCGATTTTCATTTCAAAAACCATCGTTGCTATCTTAGTTCTTGTCTTAAATCCCTGTCCGTTTCTTGCTAAGTGATGACTCCACTTTTATCCTACATTCAATCACCTCGTTTTTTTGAACTTATGAATAAATTTTATTTTCCGAGTGAAAAATCCAAAGTTGAGTCAACCACTAACCACGCGAATTTGAATTTGAATAGATTGAATGAATGAATGAATGGTTAATTTCACATTCCTCCACTCCAAACTAAAAATAAAATAAAATAAAAAATTGGTTGGTAGGACATTTAAGCATCTTAAATTCAATTAGAATGGAGTGGATGGATGGATGGATCTTAAATAGTCCATTACTTTTCTCTATTAAAAATAAATTAATCTAAAACCCTTTTGGCTTTACTCTTTAATTTTCTATTACTCTATGATTAATTAATAAAAATTAAAATCCCTTGGCTTAGGTCCCTTATTTCTTTCTTTATATATATTTTCAAGCTACGACCATCCACTCAAACTCAACATATATGTACTTTTTTAATAAAATAAATTATCTTTCTATATTAACTCATTCAAGTGTGAATCTGATCAAATAATTGAGTTACTTTTTCCCCAACAACCATGTACTAATTTTGAAATCATATGTTCTATCTATAATTTATGCAAAATTAAAATTCAAATCTCGTGAATAAAATGAAAGCCTTTCCTTTTGCTTTCATTCTTGTCATGCATTTGAAAAATGCAAACATAAAAAAGAATCTTTTATTTCTCTTTTATCTTAGGCAGCGGTCCCATTCATCATCGACTATTGGTTTGATTAAAAGCATTTATGTTTGTTCCTATACTGATTCATCGTGATTCCTTTATTTGGTTGATTATGGCGGCTCAAACCTCCTTCCACAACTGGAAGTTTGTGACATCACTGCCGGCGAAAGCTTTAAATTGCCTTCCCGGCAACATCTCTATATAAGCTTCATTCATTTTTTGATCCTACATGTGAGCTCGATCATTTGTTTCTCACTCAATCAGCCATGGAAGTACAGAAGTAAGCTCCCTTCCCTTCCCTTCCCTTCCATTTTGAATTTGTGCTCATTCTGTTCATGTTGGATTCTACGGCGCATTTTTCTTCTTCCTCTTGCATAACTGTGATTGTGGGGTTGGGGGGATGTAATATGGGCGCTAATTAGTGAACCAACTAGAAGGGACTGAACCCACTTGTGATGTTCACTCAATTTGAGTTTGGATCATTTGGGGAGCTGCTAACTGGTAAGGAGTCAAAAAGTAAAAGGCAGAACTTACTTTTCTTTCTCTCTGCTCTACTGCCTGCCTTCCCAAGTTCTTGAGATTATTATAGTTTCTTCAAGTGTTTTTACGTTTTCTACTTCATTATGCTTCATAATTGCGTTAGATCCACAAAATTACTCTAAGCTTTAGCCGTGTAGTTCTAACAATTTTCAGGAGTTTGTGAGCTTTTTGTGTTCTGGAAGTAGGTTCAGGAGTTAATTCCATAACGACAATTATTTAATACTTCGAAAGAAAAAGGAAGTTGGGTTGTTTTCTCCTTCATTTGTTTTCTTTAACATTCATTGGGTCACTTTTTAAATCCTTTCAACTCAGGAAAAGCTACTTTCATCGGTCACATATGTTTCTTTCTGTTAATAGTTGACGGTATTTTCTTTAAAAACTTTGAGAGAAATCTCGAAAGAAAAAGCTTAAAGAGGACAACATCTACTTCTAACGGTGGACTCGTGTTGTTACAAATGGTATTAGAGTCAGACACCAGACAATGTGCTAGCGAGGACACTGGCCTCCAAGAACGTGGATTGTGAGATCCCACATCGGTTGGAGAGAAGATTCCTTACAAAAGTTAGAAATCTCTCTCTACTAGACATGTTTTAAAACCTTGAGAACCTTGAGGGGAAGTCCAGAAGGGAGAAGGGAAAGTCTAAAGAGGATTTACCGTGGTTTCTTTTCTTTTCTTCATGATCTCGTAATCAAATAGTAGATGTATCTGTCGGTTTATTTGTTGCACTTGCTCTGCCCCCTGTCCAGGGCTACAGACGGTTTTCATCAAAAGGAACATCCATCAGCTGGAGAAACACACCCACGGTACTCCCTGAGATCAATAAGATCGGTTTCAGCAAGCTTTTCCTCTAGTTTTGACAGGCTTACGAGTTTTGGAAACATATATTTCGAACAAGAAATTAGGAGTCAAGGGTTGGGATATATCAAAAGTATTTTTGATAAAAACCCACTACTCCTTCATTTGTGGAATGAAATACTTGTCATGTTGTGTGTGATTGCTACCTCTTTGGATCCTTTGTTCTGTTACATCCTGGTGGTTGATGAAGACAAAAGATGTGTCGGATTTGACAAGAAGTTGAGGAAAGTAGCTGTAATTCTTCGCTCAATCACAGACTTACTCTACATAATTCTTATTGTCTGTCATTTTCATCTTGGATATTCCTCATTTTATAAAGCAAATAGTGACGATGCTGATGATGGTGTTTGCACAAGAGCATGGAGATTTCTTTTATCCTACTTCACTGTTGATGTTCTTGCAGTTCTTCCACTCCCCCAGGTATGAACCTTCACCCTCTGTACACATAGATTCTATCAATATTATAGCTCAAATTTGCACAAGTACATGATTATATTCCTGATTTTTTCGCTACTGATATTGTTGTGATGCATGTGAAAAATGGTCGGGGTAGGTGGTGAGTTTAATACTCATTCCAAGCCTCAAAGGATACGGATTTATATATGCAGTGAGGTCACTGAAATATATTCTCGTCGTTCAATATTTGCCGAGGGTCTTTCGAATCTACTCGTTCTTAAAGAAAGTTAGATGGAGTTCTAACATTCTCCCAGAAACTGCTGGGGCTAAAGCTGCCTTCAATCTCTTCCTTTATATGCTTGCAAGCCATGTACGTTGATTCTCACTTTTGTTCCTTTTGAAGAGTTAGTAATAGCAACACTTCTCTGGTGTGCTTTCTTCTAATAAGCATATAATTATATTGCTCTATTAGGTTATTGGAGCATTTTGGTACTTATTCACTATAGAGAGAAAAACAGTTTGCTGGGAAGAAAGGTGTGTACATTGCCCTCTAAACTGTAACTACGTTACAAACGGCAATTCGAGTGCTGACAGTTTTTGCTCTGGAAAAGCTGGAAATGGGTCTCAAACTTTTGATTTTGGAATGTTCGAAGCTGGTCTTCGTATTGTGGAATCAAGGAATTTCATGAGGAAACTTTCTTTCTGTTATTGGTGGGGTCTGCAGAAATTGAGGTTCGTCTGAGTTTTTTCTTTTTGGATTTACTATTACCAAACTGTAACTCATTGTCTATATTAAAGTTATTGATTTGTCATGGACCATCTCATAAACTTTCTAAGGACTTTACGGCTCGGAAACTTCACGTCGTAATTCGAGACAAAGTACCTATCTGCTAGATTCTGATGAGTGATTATGATATCTGGATGGATTGCAATAGAAAAACTACATTACTTCATTAACTGAAATGCATCTTAGGCTTTTAGGATCTTGCTTTTGACACTTATAGATAATATGTTGCAGCTCATTGGGACAAGACCTCAAAACTAGTGACCATTTGTGGGAAATCTACTTTGCAGTCACCATTACCATTTCTGGGTTGATACTATTTGCGCTTCTTGTTGGAAATTTGCAGGTCAGTAGTTAAGTTTACTTCAAACTCGTTGATCTACACATTATTTTGCCAAGTTTCACAATCGCACTCTTGTGGCAACGGGACAACGATTGTGTGACACTTGTTCTAACCTAGCGAACAAGTCAACTGTGTGAAATTTGCACTTTGCGGACAATATCGGTGTATACATGAGCCTCGGGTCACATTTGAGAGAAATGATTTAGAAAACGTGAGCGAGGAAATACGTTGAAAACAATTTTAAAGAAAGCAATGTTATAAGCTAAAACCCATTAAGCAACAGCAACGGCTTTGATAGCATATAATCCGGGTAGGAAGAATTGACAATTAGTCACATCCCCCTAGAGTATATTTTGGGGCGTTTTAGCCCTGGCGAGTATCAACATGATTTTGTGAACGGTTACACACCCCCATATTGACACCATGTGAAATAGTAAAGACCTATCTAAGATGAAAGCATGTAAAAGGGGTTTGGAACGGGCATATGGCCATAGAGAACACATCCTGGACAAGCATGACTGGGACATCTGACATGCGACCATAGACAACACGCCTTGTATAAGCAGACAATTGTTTAAATGATGCCTCAACATTATCTAATCTGATGAGCTATTTTATTGTGTAACAGACATATCTACAGTCAACCATTGCAAGATTGGAGGAAATGAGATTGAAGGGGCAAGATATTGAGCTATGGATGGCTTTCCATTCCCTCCCTAGAAAGTTGAAGAAAAGAATTAAAAAGTACGAACGGTACAAGTGGCGAGAAACCAAAGGTGTTGATGTCGAGCTACTTCTTCATAATCTTCCTAGAGACCTAAGAAGGGACACAAAACGACATCTTTGCTCGACTCCACTCAAAAGTGTAAGCAGTTTTTGAGCAAGTTTACCAATGATATTACTTTTTGTATATAGCATCCATTCATGTTGTTGCGCTTCTCTTCTTATGGTTGATAATATGTGCTCATCAAGGTCCCAAAGTTTCAAAACATGGACGATAAGCTACTCAATGCTATATGTGATTGTTTGAGACCAGTGCTGTACATTGAGCGTAGCCTCATTATTCAAGAAGGAGAGCCATTGGATGAAATGGTCTTCATAATTCGAGGCCAAGTAAGGATATATTCCAAAAGCGATAATGGCATTGCAGCTAGTTCCTCACTTTTCAATTGCCTTAACAAAGGTGACTTTTATGGAGAGGCTCTTCTAGAGTGGGCGCTACACCATCCTACTTCAACAACCGTCCCCATATCTACCAAAACGCTTCGAGCACACTCGAAAGT